GCTGGGTGCTGGCAGGCTTGCACCTGGCACGGGCACCGTAGCCAGCCCGTGCCCCTTTAAGGGCTCCGGGGCCGGGAGGGGGGCAGACGAGTTTCCTTGGTGGTGCCCAGAGTGGCCACCAGGGCAAGCTGGGGAGGGCTAGCCTCCCACTAGTTCGAATTAAGTGGACACAGCCCTTAATTCCAACTGCTTAATTCGAATTAGGCGTTAGTCCTCATAGAATGAGGTTTACCTAGTTCGAATTAACTTTGTAGTGTAGACATACCTATAGAGTGGAATATCATATGACAAATGAATGAAGATTTTACTTCAACTTCTTTTTTATCATCACTAGTGGCTCGACCAGATTTTTGTGCTATGTTTCCTGGGATGAAAGAAGTAGGAATTCATCTCTTGCTACTCCCAGACACAACCGCTACAGTTGAGAGTTCTTTTTCATCATTTAATATAATTTTGTGTTCTGAAAGAAGTTGCCTTCTGCCTGATCATATGAATGAACTAATGAGCATATCAATTGAAGGAATGGAAGTACCAGACACACAAGCCACCAAAGATGAACGCATTACATTCAAGAAGTTCATTAACAGAGTTGTGCAAAATTAGAACAAGAAACCAAAAAGGATGTAGACGTAGTGCCTCATAGAAGGCTTGAGTAGCCAACTTTAATTTGTGTGATTTTAAAACATGAGTTTAAATCTAATAAAATGGTCATGAATCATTTTCAGTTTTTACTATGGTGCCATACAGCCCACCTTCACCCTCATGGTCTCACCCCTGACACTTCCCTCCCCCTATAAATTCGAACACTCCCCCCCTAATTTCAATTCCCGGGGAAAACATTGGTTGGGATAGTGTGTCCAAGTCCCTGGATGATGGAGTAGGTGGGGAGAAAAAGTGTTTGGAAGGGGGAACTGGGCCCTTCTCCCCTTGTGTTGCTGGCCCAGGAACTCCAAGCCACTCCTTGTCCTTTAAGTTTGAGGTGTGGCCCCAAGAGTCTAGATTTTCTTTATTTGGGGTTTCTCAATGGATTCCCCCTTTTTCCAAGAGGGATGGGTGTTTACTTGCTTCTGTTGCTGCTGGGCAGGCAGACTCTGGTTCAAGCCCTCAGACTGACAAACCATGCTCCTGCCTTCTCACAAGACAGTGCCAAAATGAACCAGACTCGTTCCTTCCCCTCCCCCCCTCCAGGCCATTAGTGGCAATAAAGGGGGGGAGGCTAGCTGGGCCCACAGACTTTCTTTAACTCCTGGGATGCCAGGCACTCATATATATATATATGTATGTATACACACACACACACAGGGCTCAACAAATTATGGAAAACCCTACTCGCCAAACAAAAAAGGGACTCGCCACCCCACCCCCAAGCATTTTTTAATGGCATAAATTACTAATAAGTTATTAATAAATATCACCCAAGTTATTAATAAATATGGGTATGTCTACACTACCCTCCTAATTCGAATTAAGAGGGTAATGTAGGCATACCGCAATTGCAAATGAAGCCCAGGATTTGAATTTCCTGGGCTTCATTTGCATAAGCGGGGTGCCGCCCTTTTTAAATCCCCGCTCGTTCGAACCCCGTGCAGCGCGGCTACACGGGGCACGAACTAGGTAGGTCAAACTAGGCTTCCTAGTTCGAACTACTGTTACTCCTCATTCCACGAGGAGTAACGGTAGTTCGAACGAGTCCATCTTGCTCTTCCCAGTGCTGTCTGACATCCAGGGGCACACAGCGAGAAGTCCCGTGGCACTTAAATCCTGGGCTTCATTTGCAAGTTCGAAAGCCTACCTTAGCCACCCTTGTTTGAACTAGGGGGCTAGTGTAGACATACCCTAATATATTGACTGGGCAACAAAATGGCAAATGAAATTGAATACTGATAAACAGGGCTCGACAAATTATGGAAAACCCTACTCGCCAGACAAAAAAGGGCCTCTCCCCCTCCCCCCCATAAGAGTTTTTTTAATGGCATAAATTGCTAATAAGAATAAGAACAGTAATTACTAATACGCTCTTAATAAATATCACCCAAGTTATTAATAAATATCCTGTGGCCCCACTCTGATCATGTGAGCTACCCCTCCTCATCCCCTCTCCTAACTCCTCCCTCTACACACCTGCCCTGCCTCTCTCCTCTGGTGCTGGTCCCTCCCGTGCAGGTGTCTGCCCTTCTGCCTCACTCCCAGAATCCCCTGGCACCTGCACCTTCTCTTAGCCCTACACCCTTCTGGTGCCTCCCTCTTCCCTCACTGCCCCTGCTCCCTTTGCCCTCTTTTTCCCTGATGCCCACCCCCTCACCACCCTTTGCCCCCATTCCCCTCATGCCCCTGTGCCCTCACACATGCCTTGCTCCATCCCCGCCTTCCTCATGCCCACCCCTTCTTTCAAGCCTTCTCTCAGCACCTCCCCCTCCCCCCTCTAGCCCCCAATGCCCTTACCCTCTCCTCTACCAGCATCACCCTGTCCCCACTCCCGCTGACATCTCCCCTCCTGCCCTTTTCCTCATTGTCTCCACTTGGCCCCCTGGCATTTGTCTCTCCTCCACCCCTGTGCCTTGGTGCCTTCCCCTTTCTTCTTCTTCTTCTCCTGACCCCCTCCCCTCCGCACAGCACAGCACAAGCCCCTTCCCCTCCCCTACCTGGCTTCTGCCTTCCACTTTGTGGGGTTTCCTGAGCCTTTTTTAATCCAACGGTCACCAGCCATGACGTCAGGATGCCATGTCATGCCAGTGTCCTGGTGTCTGCCGGCGTCCCGCCCTCTGGCTCATGCCCCAGCTTCTCGCACCAGAGCTGCACACAGGCAGCCCGGTGCTGAGAATCACCGCACGTCCCCGTCCCTGGAGGCATTCTGCTCCTCCACCAGCCGGCGGATCGGATGGGGCCACGCCGCCTGTAGTGCAGGCTTTGGCCAGCCTGTCACAACGGCCCACCGGGCCAGTCCGCCCCTGCACTCGCCAGCTTGTAAAATCTACTTGCCACAGGCGAGCAGGCGAGTGTATTTGTCGAGCCCTGTATATATATATGTATATGCAAACTCTTGCTTAAATACAAAATTTAACTCAATCATAACAATAACTCATTATCCCTGCCTCTCTCTTCTTCTATTTGTTGTTTTGTTTTGTTTCTCCTTCTTGAAACTGAGTCCTTTTTCCCCTTGGCTTGAATTGCATCAGATCACACCAGGCTGCCACATTATTTTTCTAAATCTCTGCTTTCATCTATTATATATTTGAGAGCGTTTGTCTGTAAGTTTCTGTGTTCAAGAACTCCTCCTAAACAGTAAGAGCTAGGACCATCAAATTTGATATACAGCTTCTTCTTATCATAATTTAAGGGTTTGGTTCTGCCAGGAAAATGGGATTTGCCTGGAATGGAATTGCTTCTCATAAAACCATACAGAAAAAGAGACAGAATCACCAGGCAGAAAGGGATTGGCTGGGGGTGTCCCCTCACCATAGGACTGCCCCACTCTGCTCCATTGTTGGCTGTTCCCCCTTCATCAGGGAATAAGGGGAAAGTGCACAGTTTGCTACATTTCTCACTCTGGCTGGGGAGCATAGGGGCCAGATGAGCTGTACACTTTGCTTTCACTCCCTGACAGGGACAGGAAGGGGGAAAGCAAGCAGCTCTGGTACAAATCTTGGGAGGGAGCTTTGTCCTGCCTGCCTCCCCACACACCCCTGCTACATACACATGCATACACACAGTCCCCTGCCCTCCTCACCCCTAATCCCAACTTCTGCACCCCACACGCTCCCAGCCCTCTGCCCTAAGACTCTCCTTAAGGACCCAAGCAATGCCAGGTATACGTTTTAGTTTAAAATAAAAGCAAATCTCTAGTCTTTCGGTCACAGAGAAAACAGTAAAAACATGAAACAAGTGAAAACTGATATAGCTATCTTTGCTGAGACTGCAATGAGTTTGAAACAATAGGCTACAGAGATGTGAACTTTCTGATTCATCTCAATATCCAATGAAAGGCAATTCAATATCCAGTTATTTAAAATTTCAACATTATTAGTGATATTACTGATATCAAAGCATGCAAGAAAGCCCAGCTCTAAAGAACTACTCTCTGTGGTGTCTGACAGCATAACAAAGGTAGTGTTTGGTAGACACTACCTTTTTCCAGGGTGACACAAAACACTAATGGGTTAAAAAACCCAAATAGAGTCCAGAGAGTGATCCTGGGAAGAGTAGTCATATGCTACACTGAAGGTTTGATAATTCTTACCCACGCTTTCCATCAGTAATGTGTAATGTTGTGTTGCATGGTATGCCCAATGCATTGTCATGCTATTTATCTGACAAAGTTCAATTTGTGGCACTTCTAGGTTAGGTATTGCTAATTGCCATTTACAGCTGGTGAAAAACTCATCATGCTTTCACTATAGATACTTGTCACACAATCTTGGGTGATGCAGCTCCTGAAACAGTGAGTTGCATTCCACTGTCACATGTTACTGTTTCACATCTCAAATCACTGATATTGCAAAAGATATTGAAGCTCAGTTGATAGAAATGGTAAGAACATCAAGCTGATTTGCAATTCAGCTGGATGAGTCAACAGACATTTCTAATACAGCAGTTCTTATTGTTTATGTGCACTATGCCTATGAGGGGCATTTCATGAAGATCTATCCTGCTGTGCAGAACAGCCACAAAACACAAGAGATGCCAAAATCTTCTGGGTCGTAAATGACAGTGTGGCAGGACACAGACTTTAGTGAGGCTGCTGCATTGGAATTTGCACTGATGGAGCAGCAGCAATGACTGGCAGACATTCCAGTACAGTAACGAGAGTGATGGAATTGTATTGACTGCTCAATCAACACACTATTTTATTCTTCGAGTGATCTGGGCAGCCAAGAAATTGTCTCCAGAGCTTAATAACGTCCTTTGTGTAGTTGTTAAAATTGTGAATTTGTAAAAGCAAATGGACTGAATTCTCACATCTTTGCTACAAAATGTGAAGGAATGGGGTCCAAGCACATCACTTACACACTGAAATGTGGTGGTTATACCATGGCAAAGTATTAAATGGAGCATATGAACTGCAACATGAACTTGAAGCCTTTCTGTCACCAAAGAAGTCTCTTTTGGCAACATACTTTCAGGTACAATTTGTATATTTGACAGATATATTTGATCACTTCAATCAGCTCAATTTCTCTAGTCAAGGAAATACATCAGGTGTCTTTTATTGGCTGACAAGATCACAGCCTTTTAAAAAAGCTCGAAATCCCAAAAGAATCTGGCATAACTGTTATGATATTCCCATCTTTTGCATCTCTTGTTATTGATGACAGTAAATGGATCTGCCTCTCCTAGGTGAAATAATTACATCCTGTCTAAAAATCAGCTCTCCAAAAGTTTTAAGACTACTTCTCATCAAATTCTGATACACAGAAAGGAAAACAATGAGCCTGTGATCCATTCTCCTCTCTAGAAATTGAGACCTTTCTGTAACTATCATTGGGAGGACAAGTTGCTGGAACTACCAAATGATGAAATTCTGAAGTTAGTTTCATGAAGTGACTCTACCTGTTTTCTGAAATAAAGTCAGAAGGGAACACCTATAACTCAGTGAATGCTATATCAAAAGTTTGCTTCTGTTCATTCCACATAACTCTGTGAAACTGGATGTTTAGCAATGACTACAATGAAAATAACA